AGTGTCTAAAAATTTCATTTACCAATTCTCGAACACCCAGTTCCATCACTCATTTGTCTGTTTAAGGTTCAATATGTGGTTTCGCCCACTGGGTCTGCGGTTTTGTCTACCCGTCGCAATTTAACACATATCCAACAAATACACATGTACAGACAAATACTTGTGCATGCATACGTGTGAGTTGCTCATGTAGCATAGCAAATAACTGTTAATGTGCTTTCATGTGTGAATTGAAATTTTTATTATAGTGTGTATTTAGGCGCATATGCTTTCATTACCAAAACACCCATTGCGAGTGTGTGTGTAGGCTTGTGTGTTTTCGCCGTAAATGCTTTTAAATATCAAAAATTCTCTCAGAATTTATTTCCCAACTGTTCAAATATTCTCGTAGCTTTAGTGAAACTTCAGGAATTTTCTATGCTTTCTTAATGACAAGCGTGTATGTGCGTTTCAATGTATGAGTTTTTAGGCAACTTACATTAGTCAAAGCCAATGCACACATACAGATATGTTTTGCTTACACCATTAAAATGTGTTTGAGGTATGCGTAATGAATTTTGACGTATTTTAAGGGCAAACGTTTGGAAATACTATTTTACTTATATCAAAATTCTAAAAAGTAAATTGAATGCAGTTTACTCATTATTTACTTTACCAGCAGCTCCTGCAAAAGTCAAGTTTTCGAACTTTAAGGCTACAATTTTGTCAAGAATTACGTTCGAAAAGATACTGTGGATTCGATTATATAAGATATCGCGGACTTTTAATAACTACTCTCGCTTTGTAATGAAAGAGATTCTTGTATCAGGTCATATCCTTTAAATTCAATAGGGTAGGAGAAGTTTTCAATTAATTTTTTGAAATTTAGCACCTGATCTTCTCGCATCAAGAAGCTTCTCATTTGTCGGAACGGCCGATATCGGACCACTATAGCATATAGCTTCCTTACAAACTGAACAATCGGAACCAAGTGCTTGCATGGAAATCTTTTTTATTTCACGAGATATCATTACGAAATTTAGCATTGGTTATTGTCTCAGACAATAATGCAATCTCCGAAGAAATTGTTCAGATCGGATCACTTTAGCAAATAACTGCCACAGAAACTGAACTATCGGAATCAAGTTCTTCTACGGAACCTTTTGTATTTGTGAAGGGTATTGTAGCTGCGGTGCAACCGAAGTTAACGTTTTTAATTATTTCTCATCTGTTAAGTTCAATGTCAACATTGCATGGTAACGTTGTAATTATTTGATCAGTATAATTGAATACAAAATTTGAAATTGGTGGCAAGCAAGCATTTTGGTTTCTTTAATTTCAAATTTTTTTTTCTGTATTCAGCCTTCCTTTTTAACTGTATTCAGCGTTCACTATCTCTCTGTATAATGGCAACTAAAACTAGCGAAAATTTGCTAGCCAAAAATCGATTGTTTCTACCACCTTTACGCACTTTCACTACAAAAACCACAAAAAGAAAAGAAATGAAAAGAATGAAATCAAATCTTCGCCAATCTTTAATTTGCCTTCACATCATAATTTTTTCTGCTGCACAGTTTATAAGTTGCAATTTCCTTTGCTTGTTGACGTCGAGTGAAAAACTTTTGAAGGAAAGTGATTACAATTTCTGTTTTCGCTGCAATTTTATTCGCAGTTTTTCGTCGCACTCCTTTCTGCCGAACATTCAAATCAACGTCACTGAGTAAATGACACTTGAACATGAAATTTGCATATCATGATAAATTGAGCCATTAAAAACTGGCAAGGCAAATAAAAAGTGGAGAGCTGAGTGGATAAGAAAATTGTAACAAGACTTTTTATTGAGCTCTCGAAAGCGGCGAATGGATTCGAAAGGTAGTACAATGCTGTATGAAATATGCAAGAGCTAAGGAAGTAAAAAATAAAGAAACCTGGCAAAATGAAAAAAATTAGAATTCGCGAAGGAAGATGGAAAATTTTTGAAGGTAATAAAAATTCGGGAGTTGTTTTTGTGGTGCTGTACAAACAATTGAAATAAAATGTAAGATATTTGGCACCACCTACCCCTGCTACCTAAATTTCATTCCATCTGACCAAAATTTGAAATTGGTCAGATTGTGTTGTTGAAAACTTGTAAAATACATATGTCTCAAATTAAATTTGTAAAGAATAATTTTTATATTAATTTTAATTTCTAAAAAAATTAAGTTAGTCTTGTAGACATGTAAAGTTAATCCGTATTTTTTAAGTCTCTCTGAACGGCTAATGGATTTGAAGAAGTCCTTCGACAATCTTGTCTACAGACCCGGATTTATATCCGAACGGGATATGACACCGTAGCAGCATTCTCCAAAATTCTTTTATCAGTGTTTTATGCCACCGTAACAAACATAATATTCAAACAGTTTTCTATTCTATAAGCTCGGGTTTAATGTTCAATGTTAGTTCTCCGATTTGTAGGATGCAGCTGCAAATATTTTTAGTTGCCTTTAAGTTTCAGTTGGATTTCTATCGCCGTATTTCAAATTAGCCACCATTTGAAGAGGTCTCTAATTTTTTGTTGCTTTTCTATCTGAAAGAGAGAATTTACACAAATGATAAATTAAACGATAAATGTACAAAACGGCAAAGGATTTTGTTTGCATTCTGCTTCTGTGACAAAGGACTTGTTTTTTCGTGGTTTGCCAACCATTGTCTAATTACTCACTTAAGCAGCTACTTTGGCAAGTGATAAAAACTTAAAAACTGTCAATTGTAAACAACAAAAGTTGGTCATTCATCCGCACCAAGGCCACTCAAACAATCACAGTTGCAATTTGTAACACGTGTACAGTCCCTCTTCGTTGTGCCTCTAAACTATATATATTTATATGTATATGTGTGGCTATTTACGTGTTCCTAGTTATCTTCTCATTGTACAGCGAAGCTTTTTACTAATTAAGCTGACCACAATTAGTCAAAGTTAATTGCCTGAAGGACGGCTACAATGTGTACGTAAGGACAACGATTAGCCGGCGCTGGATCGAAGAACCGAAGCAGTAGAGTGCAATTTTCGAGAACCCGCATAAAGACAAAGGGAAAGTATTATCTTATGTGGTGGACATATGTATGTATGTGTGGCTGATTACATAAGCTCCACTGCCGACTCACCTTGTGTGTACACATATCTTTGTGTTTTCACAGTCCGCGTCTGCCGTCATTGAGCATTGAATTCCACGGACCGGCCGACGGCCGATGACTTCGAACACCGTGCAATGCCAAATCTGCGATGTGAGGCTGCTCTCACCGCACCGCACCGCACCGCACCGCCAATGACCAGCACTGATTGTGACTCTCTTGTCACATTTTTCCAACTTTCTCCTGCTTTTTAATATTATTGTGTGCATTCTCTTTCTTGGTCCATCTTCTGCATGCGCTTATTTAGTTATTGCTACGGCAGAAGTTCGCCTGTCCTTTTGAATTATCCAAGGCTGCTTTTAAGCTAACCCAACCGCACACACTCACAATCTCGCTCATGTCAAACAACAACATCATCAGCAACAACAGCAACATCTAACTGTATGTTGGCGCTGATTAACACGATTGTGTAATGCTTCTGATAGAATAGAACCCACCGCCCGTCTGTCTGTCTGTCCGCCTGTCTGTCTTTCTCTCCGCTTGCTAGGCCAAATAGACAGCGCCAGAGGTGTGTGTGCGGTTGTGTGTGGCAGTTCGTAGTGTCTCTTAGGTGGTGATGGTGGCTTTTTATTAAGTTTGCCTTTGTGTATGCTCAATATTGCATGTGACATTTGTAAATGTCAGTTTGTTGTCAGCAGTTTCATTATTGGAACTTTGCTTGTTTGCCTCTCACTTCACTTACCGACACACCAAACAGCCACACACGAACATACGGTTGAACATCACGAAAGTGCCATGAATTGAGGGTGAGTTGTCGCCCACATTCTGTGTCAGCTGTTGCCTTTATTGTTGTTTTAAAACACCGCATTGTTGTTGTTGGCGCGTTTGCTTACAGATTGTGGCATATTCAAGCGAAAATTCGTTATTCCTAATTCGTAATTTGTCCTTTTTATTATTTGGCTGTTGTTGTGTACTTGTGTGCGTGTTGTTGTGTATGCGTGCGGTCAGTCAGGTGAAAGTTCGAGATGCGAATACTTTTGAGTGACGAAGTTTAATGAAAATGTCATTGACGCCAAGAGCAATTAATTAAATATTGCAGTCGTATTGTATTTGTATTTATATCTGTGTTCCTTTCGTATCGCTTCGTCTGTGTATTCTGGAACTCTTTGTTTTTAGGGTGCAGTTTAACAGCAGTGTGTTGTTGTTCAAATACACACAGTGTTAAGACTAACAAGTGTCAAATGTGACGAGATGGATGCTTATCTCTGTATTTTTCGAGATGTTTTACAGTACAAGTATGATCTTTTCATGGCTATGGAAAGTTGTTTCCTGATTTCATGCATTTTAGACGCCGAACCTTCATGGGTTCATACATGCTTTTTTATTTAAGTTTAAAGTGAAGTTTGGAATATATAACAAAATACCGCGAAATCGGGAGTTTCTGTTTTGAACAAATTATTCTACCTTATCTTTATAGCACAGAATTCAATCTTGACAATTTGCACTTTTCACTTGTATTTCCTTATCTAAAAAAATATGTTTTTTGTGTCTTTAACTGCTTGATCTCTTTTCAACTGACAAAGGCTCTCTTATTAAACAATTAGTTGTATGGTAGTAACCATATATGTGGCTGATTCCGAAAAAAGCAAATCAATATAAGAAAATCACTACAAAGCCACTTTCCTTTCAAACCTAAGGCTAAGTTTATAAGTTTAAGAAGATACATATACTATATATGTATAAATATTGTAAAAAAATTAATAAAAGCCTAAGTTCAGAGCGCAGTAAACACTACACTACCATATATAGTAATATAATAAACTCTTTCAAGATATTTCTTCGAATTTTGAGAGAGTGAGAGAGAGAGAGAAAATTCGATAGCTATTGACTCATATCTAAAGCACCTGTTTAACAAGATTCCATCTCTTTCTTAAATGGAATATATTTATTTTTATCAACAAAAATGTTATTGCCTAAAATATATTTATTAATATCGAAATACGTCTAACAAATTTTGCTTAATGAATGCTTTGCTTAAAATTAGAATAAAATATACAGGACAGTAACTATATCTCCTTCTCTACTTAACGGAGATTATAGCCTCTCATACTCTAACCAAAACTCGCCATCAATGCCCATTATGAACGTGGGCGACTCGGGTCGCGTTTCAGGTATTGTTTTTGCACAACACTTGACACGATAAGACTTGAATATAGCCACGAGACACGTCTTGACCTCCGCTGTACCCAAATGCATTCCTGGAAAAAAGTTGAAATCTCTTATTACTCGGGAGTACATAAATGGAAAGGAAACTTAAAATAGTGCTGATAATTTGACTCTCTAAAATAAATCAAATGATCAAAATGTTGTCGAGGCCAATACTCACCCGCACATATTCGCGGTCCACTACCGAATGGCATGAATATGCCCTTTTTTATTAGGTCGACGTGTGCCGCATTGTTGAATCGGTCCGGATTAAATTCAAATGGTTTTGGAAAATAATCGGGATTATGGTGATAACTAAATATGGGCACACTGACCACATCGCCAACACGAATAGGTATTAAATGGCCATTACCTACATCAAGTTCCGTGGGTTCCGTGCAAATGCGCGCATAAAAGGAGACGACGGTAATCAAGCGTAGAGATTCTAAGTAAAAAGCAGTTTTTAAGACGCAATATGGAGAGGGGTTCTTTTCCAATGAACTTACCATTAAAACATTGATCCAAATATGGAACGTTACACAATTTTTGGTAGCTCACAAAACCATCCTCTTCAATATTCTCCAATATTTCAGCACGTAATTTCTCTTGATATTCCGGATGATGCGCTAACTATTTGCGGTGAGCAATTAAATATATATAGGTTTTTGAATTTACACTTTAACAATTTCACTTTTAATCAAAACTCACATAGAATACTGTGTGGAAGAGCACTGTGGCCGAGGTTTCGAAGCCATTTAGCATTGTGGTCAATATATGCCCGACTATATCGTCGTGTGATAAACTCTTCTTTTCCAGCAATTGTCGCAGATGGTTCAGAAAATCGGCTCTACTCTGACTATTTGTATCCTTGGCTCGCAAATCGAGCGTATCTTTTGTTAGTTGCGAAAAGAAACGGTTAGTTTCTTCCGGGAATAAACGCTTTTGTGCAAAACGGCGGAGCCAAGGTAATGGTAGCAACTTAAAATAGTTGTCCAATGATTTAAAAATAAATTGTAACCACTTGGTCTGCATTTGCAGATAAATATTTGGTTCATCTGGTTCGGCAAGCGTATTCGTTTCAATGCCCCACAGAAATTCGCCCAACACGTTCGAGACAAAGCATAAGCCGAGCTGTGAGAAATGCATGGGAAATTATTATTAATTTGTATTTAGTTATAGGGGAAATAATTTTGAGTTAGACTATCGTTGGAAAGCTAAAATGAATTTCTTTACTGACATTTTTGGTCTCAATGACCGCGTTGCCTTGCGCAGTTCTTTTTTCGAGATATTTGCATAACTTCCCTGCACAGTCTTTTAGGATTGGAAATGCCGAATTAAGCTGGAAAATAACAACAGTATGAATTTGTTTTTATACGAAAATAAAATAGACCTTCTTGAAATTACCTTATTTTGCGTTAAACCTGAAACAACTTCGAAACGTTTCGTCTTCCATGAATCATCACTCGTAAAAAATGGACTAACCGCAGCCAGTTTGTCCAAGTTTCTGTCATAAATCTATTTGAAATAATGGAAAATTACAATTTTTAATACATTACAGCATTACTATAGTATTTATGAATATTGAATAGTTTGAATATGCATTCAAAAATATTATTTGTTTGTAGCTCTTTATCCGAAAGAGTAAAACTTGTTATAGTTATAGTGATTATCATTGGTATGGGCTGTGTGGCATGAGACATTAAATTGTCCAAACAAAGCCTGTGCTGTCACTAATTGAGAAAACCCGAAGATCGCAAGTGATTTTTTCCATTCCTTAGGTGAAAATGCATCGAACAAAAACGTTGTCTAATTCGATTGAGTTTCAGAAGGAAACTGAGGTGCTGTAAATGAATGGACAGATGTGTGCCTTTAAAGACAGTACAGAACTACAGAACTACAGAACTAAAGAGATACCTGAATTTGATTCTTTCTTTATCTGGATTTTTTTTTAAACTAAGCGGAACTACAATACAACTCGCTATTGCTTGTTCTTATTAAGGAGGTTTTCAGAAACATACCATTATATTTGCGATTATCTCTAATTTTTTAAAATATTAGAGTTGTATTATCCACATCATTTCTACGATTTTTTTGAATATTCACAGCACACCTTGTCCTCACTTGTTCACTTCTCTTCAATATTATCATTCCTTCACATAACACTCTTGAATATTTGCAGTAGTATAAGTAATATCTGCCACAGACTTACCCACTCTGCTGCTAAATTGCCGCGAAACTTGCCAAAGTTTGTCACCAAAACATCCTGGGCCAATTCTGGGTCGAGAATCAGAATTTGTGGATTTCGTGTCATGAAGACGCCAATGGCGCGATGAGTCTTCTTGTATTTGCTGAAAATTATAACGAAATATTAAAGTTTACGGCTTAAATAAAAAATCTCGGTTGTATTTCAAGTGGTCAGACATCAGACTGACAGATACCTAGGTATGAATATACTAACTATGTAATTATGTAAATTCTCCTATATCTTTATCTGCTTTGAAAATATTCTGTTTACCTATAGATCTCATCGGCATCATAGACAAGTGGTTGCTTGCCAGTTATCGCGCTGGGAAAATTCCCCAAAAATATATTTGGCTTAGGACCGTCCAAGCCCAACTTCTTAAATACACCATGATGCCAGGTCAAATATTTGTAGACTAGAGCAGCTAGCAGAGCCAAAGTGACCAGAATCGCCTCCATTTTGGTACTGACCTTATAGAAATTTAGAATGGAAAATGAAATGTTTTCATCAGCAGAATTGCTCATAAACAAAACAACATGCTTATCTATAAATAAATATAAGCTTGTATGTATGTATGTATGTGCATTACATTTTTATTGCATGTTTGTAACACCCGGAAGGAATCGCCGGAGACTATATAAACATATATATTATATATATAAATAATCAGCGTGACGAGCTAAGTCGTCTGTTTGCTGTCCATACAGCTGTCCGTCTGTCTGAGATATCAATCTGAAAAGATTATCGAACAAGTTGTTAAAATCGGATACAAACTGACCGAACACAATCAAGCTCGTGTATGGAAAGTTTTTTTATTGTTGAAGGGTATGCAAGCTTTGGAGAACCGAATTAACGTTTTTCTCGTTTCTTATCAAACGCTATTAAGTGATTAATAGCAATGTATTTAAATAATGAATAATCATTGTATATAATCAATATTGGTAATCGAAGAATGCGCAAAAAAAGAAAACAAAACACTTTTTTACATTTGGGATTATAAAATGAAAAAATTATCTACACACGTGTAGACGGCTTCCTGAATAATAAAAAAAGTGAATTCGAGTAGGCACGAGTACGAGCATATAGGCAATTTATCTGTGAATATATGAAAGTGCGTAGTTTAATTTGCTTAATTTAGTAATTAGAGCAATGGCTTCAAGAGGCTTCTGAACCAATTATTTGGTATGATTTAAGAATTACGACTCTACAACCTCCATTAAATGACTGGGGTCTTGTAAATATATAATAGTCTATTAGCCGTATAAAATAGTTAGAGACAAAATTCCCTGATGATATTTGATATTAAAATTTTGAATAATTTTACGCGAATGTGTTTTTATGAAATCTTTGTCTCATCCATAAGTCAAGTGCATTTAAATAATTATTTATACTACGAATGCAAGCATTATGTTATCTTTGTATTTAGTTATCATCTAACGCGCCTTAAATAGCTTTAAGGTTTTTCTATTTACGTATGTCTAAAGCTTAACTAAATTTAAAAGCGTGTAATTCAGCTCTTTCTTGGCTGCTGATTTTAATTTGTATTGAGTAGAAGTTCAGAATACTTCGAGTTGTGGAGGTTAAGAGAGAGTATTATAAGCTTATTTAAATAAAATTACAAACATTACAATAAAATAAGCTCCAGGCGCATATATGAGCTTAACGTAATGGACGTTTTTATATACTGTATTATGTTAATTTTTCAGTCAAGTAATTTTTGCAATATGTAATCTACATATCTATATATAATATATAAAGAAGGATGTGTATATTATGAAATCGATAGACTTAGAAACTATTTGACTTATCATTATGAAAACTGGTATGTATATGTATTTATTCACGGAGAAGGTTTTTATGCGATCCTCATTGACGTAACACGGCATCAGTTGGCGCTGCATTGTACCGACGTATGTAGGTATATGTTTAACCGATTTTTACGAAAATTATGTACATGTATTTATTCAAGGAGAAGATGATTATGCTATCCTCATTGATATTTATGTCATTTAATTAAATATATTGGAGTATAATGAAGTAAAATTAATGATATTGAAGTATAAAGAATATGACCATGTAATTTAACTAAAATTATCGCGAAGAGTGAGCCATTACTAACAGATGAACAAAATACTATTTACAATCGGATTAGGATCTAATTTTGACTTAGCACTATTGCACACAGAAAAAAATAATTTATTTGGCAGTATTTTCGCAGAGAAACAAAATAATTACTTAAATCAAAACTGGCTCTGTAATCAGGCTATATGGACAGCAAAATAGCCGAAATTAATTTTAATAATAATATTTTTACTATATTAAACAGCGTACTCAAATATAATTTTATAATACCTTAGCCACAGCCAGGCGTGGCCGAAGTCTTCTAGTTTTATATAAAAGTAAATCGTGCCACACTCAGAAATAATTTTTTTGCTTTATTAGATACAGTTATAATATTTTTGGGGTGTCGAGTAACATACATTTTTTATAAGTTCCGAGTAATCAAAACTTAAAAATAGTAGCATCTGCCACAGCTGTTTGCCCAAACTATTGTGCGTTTTTTTGAACTCGCCCTCTATCTCTATTTCTATCCCAACCAACAACTGCCTTGAATATGGAATATATTGTGTTGTTAACTTTTTTCTCACAGTCACTTGATTAATCCGATTCATTATTTACAGCCTTATCAGGTAATTAACATGCAATGGTTTTTAATAGATTATGTTCTTATGTTATGATTATCAACACACTTATGTATTTTTATAAACAATAAACAATATTTCTGTATGTAGATAAGTAAATATGTGCACGAGCTCAATGCTCCTTGAACCTCTGTCTTATCAGTGCCTTTTTATTAGGTATATTTTGTCTGGCCTCGTCACATATACATACATACATACACCATATATGCATACAGAAGAAATAATAATATTTACCAAGAAAATTTATGTATTTATATTAATGCCACACTCATGGCATCCAAGTTAGAATCATCATAGAGGTTTGCAGTGAGAATTGCAATTAATGCAATTTTAAAATGTGAAATTTTAATTTTTTATAAATCTATATAAATTTTCCCAATCAACAGTTGAATTTTGTATATGTTTATTCATATACTTGTATACCGAATAACTGTTAGATAAATGTTTCACCTCACGCCAATGTTGTAATATCGAATATATTTTAAGGATTTGCGAATAAAATTTGTCAAACAGGCGGCAACCTTTGCTAACAATATCAGCAATCTTTTTAGAACTTCGTTACTTTAGTTGTCGCATGTTATATTTAATATTTTACGTAATTTTTTTATTAACAAAAACAAGCCTCTTTTAAAATATTGTTTCAACTGCAAACTAACTGGAACTCTTTTAATTTGATCGCTGTTGTGAAACATTCTGCGCTAAGGCTTTGAAAAATTCTAGGTCTTGGACCTTATTTATTTTGCACTGCAGAACATCTGCAAGGTTATATTATTTATTATATAAGAATTCTTCGTGAGGCTAATGAATTTGTTTTAGAAATTGCAATAATTCTGGTTCAAGGTGGAATGTTTTAAATTTTCCCGCAAAATATAATTCCGGTTCTACTCGTCGGATTCTTCCAGTACGCGCTATGTGTTCTTATAAATTTCTCCGAAATGAGTTAATAATAGCATGTTACGACTGACACTTAATTACAAGATTTAGGCTGTTGAATAGATTATCTCACTAAACTAATGGATTTAGCAAGATTTCTCCATACAAAAATGACACTTGCTAATCTCGCCACCGAGAAGATTTGAAGCTTTTTTTACAATATCACAGCTGATTTAGACCATTATTGTACATTAAATAGGAAATATTTAAATCAAGAAGACAAGTATAACGAAGTACGACAGTACAATGTGTTCTTTTTATAAATATTAAATACGAATTTTTTAAATTCCAACGGCAGTGAGAACAATCTAGATTAGTTAATAAATTAAATATAATCTAATCACTTCAAACTTTTAGTCGAAACATTTAATATTTCCGCATATATTTTTACGAGCATTGAGTTGATATCGTACGATATTCAACTTAATTTGCATGGATACATGCTGATAGGAATATTAATGAAACTAACCGGTCATCCAATTATTGTACTTTTGTCATGATTCGTGTCAAGCTGTCATGTTAATTTTGTTCAGTATTGTTGTAAATTTCATCATGGAAAGACTTACGCTTGAACAACGTTTACAAATCGTTCAAATTTATTAAGAAATTCACATTCCGTAAAGAATGTGTTTCGCCCGATTCGCTCAACTCATGGCCCAACACTTCGCCCTATGGGCTCTTTCAATGTTCGAAGAATATCCGACGTTTTCATTTTGTTGCGCTCATTTGAGGCACATTTTTGGCTCAATGGGTGTGTAAACAAGCAGAAATGACGCATTTGTGACGAAGAGCAACCTAAAGAGATTCAAGAGCTGCCATTTCATGCAGAAAAAACAACGGTTTGATGTGGTTTGTGGGCCGGTGTAATTATCGGTCCATATTTCTTCAAAAACAAGAAAACACGTTAACTTCGGTTGCACCGAAGCTATAACATCCTTCACAGATACAAAGGTTCCTTATAATAACTTGACTCAGATCTAATTTCGTGAATCGGCAATAAAAAACTCTTTACTCCGATCGTTCAATTTATATGGTAGCTGTATGACATAGCGATCCGATCTAAACAATTTTTTCGGAGATTATATTCTTGCCTTAGAAAATAACTCGTGCAAATTTCGTGAAGATACCTCGTCAAATGAAAGAGTTTTCCATACAAGCAGCTTCTTAGTGAGAAAGGGGCAGATACAAAATTTCAGATCGGTAGCTTAAAAACTGAGGGACTAGTTTGCATATATACAGACGGATGGACGGACGGACAGGCGGACGTGGCTAAATAAACTCAGCTCATCATGCTAATCATTTATATACACATTTTATAGGGTCTCCGACGTTTCCTTCTGGGTGTTACAAACTTCGTGGCAAACTTAATATACCCTTTTAAGGTATAATGATGCCGGTGGGAATGTAAGCGTCAATGGCGACCGTTATCGCGTCATGATAACCGACAATTTGTTCCCTGAAATGGAAGCTCGTAATCTCGGCGACGTTTTGGGTCAACAAGACTTCCCACACATTACATCAATCGATGGATTTATTGAGAGAAAACATCGGTGAGCAGATAATTTCACGTTTTGGGCCACCAAGATCGTGTGATATCACACCGTTAGACTTTTTCCTGTGGGGACATGTATGTAAAGTCTAAAGTCTATGCGGACAATCCCGCTTGGAGCAAAAATAAATCCTCGTTTGCTTTTATTTGCTGTTGATAATAATGAATTTTAATTTCGACATACGGGCAGCCTTAACTTGTATCATCTCTATGAAAAACTCTCTAGAATTAAATCAATATGTTCAGTAGTAAGAACTAACCCTCAAATGAAAACTATTCGCAAGTGGTTTGCTAATTCTACAGTGAGCATTAAAAAGAGGTTTTTTTGGCGAAAACATAAAAAAATCCACAAAGATATTTTAAAAATTGCGCGAATCGGACGTCGAATTGCTTTCGCAGGCCTCCTATTCTCCAGAAGTTAAAGAATTTTAAATGATATTGGAGAAACATTAACCATTGGACATATAAACGTAAAGGTATAAAGTTCTTGTATTTACTATTTCAGTAAGAATACTATGACATAATATTGAAATAGGATGGAACCACTTAGTTTGCATTTAGGTAAAATTATTAGTTCACCCATTATGTAATAAGAATAACACAAAAATATTCTGAAAAGCTTCTACTTGTAGTTTGTGCTCCGTATAATCTTAATACACATTTTTCGTTATTACACTTATTCCGTAAAAATATATTTCGCGTGTTATGTGTAAATAAGTAATATATGGTATTGTCTTCAAGTTATAAAACAGAAGTTTTCATGCCATATAGGCTGAGATAGGCTTATGTGTCTTCTTTGAAAAAATCATGAATCTCATTATGGGTTGACTTCAAAATATTTATCAAGAGAAGAGAAGAGGTCTTCACTGTTTATAATCTCTCATATTGGAATAATAAATCGCCATCCACACCGATAATAAGTGTTTGTGATTCGAGTCTCGCTATCGGTGGAGTTTTGCCGCAGACTTTCAAACGATAGTTCTTGAGTACTTCGACGATAGCTGTTTTAATTTGCAAAACACCCAAATGACGACCTTTAATGGGATATACATTTTACTTATTTACATAGTTGCAATGTTTTATTATTTTTAAAAATTACCCAAGCAAATTCGTGGTCCATCGCCAAATGGCATGAAAATGCCATTCTTTGTCAGCTCCGAAATATCAGTGTTTTCAAAACGATCCGGTTTGAATTCCAACGGATCTTCAAAATACTCGGCGTCATGTAAGTAACTGAACACGGGAATAGTTACTACTTGTCCTTTCTCGATGGGTATGCGACGTCCATCGTCTAATACCAATTCGGTGGACTCTGTACAGATGCGCGAAGTAAATGTAAGGGGACTTATCATACGTAGGGTTTCTAAAAACGAAGTTAAATTGAGAAATCGTGTGCATTTATGTATTAATTATGTGCTCTCACCGTTTATACACTGATCCAAGTAAGGTAGCAGAGACAAAGCTTGATAATTTATACTGCCGTCCGCCTCGAGATTGCTTAGAATTTCCTTACGTAATTTTTCCTGATACTCCGGATGATGGGTCAACTGAGATCATGAAGCTGGTTTAGTAAGTAACTTATCAAAGTTTAAGTGCAATTTGACTCACGTAGAAGAGGGCGTGAAAAGCAACTGTTGCTGCTGTGTCAAAACCATCGACAAACACGGTCGACAGGTACCCTACCACTTCATTATGGGAGAGATGCTTCTTTTCCTGCAATTGGCGCACGTAATTTAAAAAGTCAGCTTGATTCTTTTTGCTCGCATCTCTCTCACGCAACGCGTATGCGTCTTTTGTGAACTGTGAAAACAGCTGATCACTTTCGGCAGTGAAGATTCGATGACTATCGAAGCGTCGGTACCAAGGGAAGGGTATACATTTGAAATAGCTCATAAAACCTTTAAACACTTGCTGAATTAGTTTATGCGATACTTCCAGATAATGATTCGGTTCGTCGAGACTGTCCAGCGTTTTCGTTTCAAAGCCCCATAGGAACTCGCCCAATATGTTGGATGTATAGCGTAATAGAAGCTGCAAGGGACGCAATATTAAAATAAGAAAATAAGCAACGGTATTCAGAGATTTACATTTTTAGTTTCGATTATAGAGCTGCCTTTTGCTGTCTGTGCATTTAAGAGTTTTCCAAGCTTTTGAGTACAAGTCTTCCAAATTGGATAGGCTGAGGTGAGCTGGAGAGGATTTATGTATGAAATTGGTGAAATACCAGAACCATATTCCATTATATATTATACCTTGTGTTGTGTTAGTCCACTCATAACGTCGGACCGCCTCGTCTTCCATTCATCACCAACATTGAAAAAGGGATTAAATCTGGCGACTGGATCTTCCTCTTTGTTGTACAGCTAAATGATACACACGTTTTAAATAAGTTTGGTCTTCTTCATACAGTTAAAGGTATATTATTCTTAGTGAGCGCATTTGGGCGTACTTACGAATTTGCTTCCTAAGTTGTCCCTGAAACTCTTGAAATTCGTTACTAAAATTTCATGCGCCAATTTCGGATCTAGTATTAAAAATTGAGGTTCTCTCGAAACAAACATGCCAACAACCTGATGTTTCTGCTTATACTTGCTGAAAAAGAAACAAATGGGCTTTAGTACAATGAATGTAGAAAGTTATGTAAATGTAATTAGCCCTTCTGCGATCCTCAAACTTTTCTGGTTCGGTTCAATCGCCTTTGTCATTCGCGAAAAGTTTTATATATGTATAACTATAGATAGATAAATATAAAATTCGTGCACCAGTGAGTCTTACCACTTGATTGCATAGCGATATGATAGTTTATTGTATAATATATGTATCCTTACTTTAAGTTTTTTAAATCAAAGCCTCATTTAACTTTTTCTTGCTCAACTATATGTATCTAAATTCAAATAGGATACATGAGGTCGTACTCACTTATAGATATCATCATAATCGTAAGCTATATGCTGTTTGCCGGTTAAATTTCCGAGCCATATTTTTGGCTCTGGGCCGGCAATGCCCAATTTTTTAAAGGTATCGTAGTGCCATGTCAGATATTTGTGTATCAGGAATCCGACAGCGGCGAGCAAAGCAATTGTAACTAGAAGCGGCACCATTTCGAAACTGCGCGCTGTGATTTTTATTTAGCATTGTGAAGTGACAATTGTAGATTCATTGTCCCCACTTAGGTATCCATTATCAGTAATTGGCGTTATGTATTTACTTTCTAGTGACCAATGCTGTTAACCTTCTTTATTAATATCACTCTTCGACGGCTCTCATATAGTGAGCATATAGAGAGGTTTAGAATATGTAATGAGTGAAAAGTGTGAGTGATTCTCTTCCCTATGTTATCATCTGTTTAGTATGCAAATTATTCAATATAATTTTATGAGATAACCTTGAATAAAGCGCAGTTTGTGTACTATATACTCTAAATCGCGGTAATATCATTAATTGATATTCATTGAATGAATTTTGTCATTTTTTTCGATATCATTGAAGTCATCTTTATTCATACGGGTCTGTTAATAATTGTGTACGAGTACATGTTCTGCAAATTTTCCATAATTAATCTGTGCTGCATATACTTATATATTTTTTCTTTTAAAATAATATTTATTTAATTTCTTCGCGTGCTTTAAAGTTTTACTATCAGTGAAAAAATGTAGAGAGAGAGACTGAGGGAGATGAATATATAGTTTTAGAGTGAGCTTCAGTGATCTCCGGCGCTTGATTTGAATGAACATATGAAAAGAATTGAAAATGTAGGATGCCCTAACGTTTTGACACTGAATTAAACGACGCCTGCTGTTTATAAATAAATATTGGTTAAAGTACAATTTCTTATTATTTCATAAACGTAAATCAATTATGCAATATACCGTGATTGATTTCCGCCTAGGCCCGTGAGGCCTGGATCTAGGGCGACATGATTTAGGGGGCAGCATAATTTTCAGAACGTTAAAATTTTAGAGCCGGGAAAATATACAAAAATTGTATTCTAAAAATTAGTTCTAATTTTTTTATGGGAATCAAAATTACTAGAAAATACTATAATACACTTTATTAAACCGCTTTTATTAGCTTCACATATACATTTGTATGTATGTATGTTTGCATATGGTATATGTATATTTGTAACTTTTTTTAGTAGCACTGAAAGTGATTGCACTGAGACAAGAGAACTAACAGTTTGAGAGGCACCGCAAAAAAACAAAAATACGGCTGGTACTCGTGGACTGTCGCGGTAAAGCTATTGCATAGCAATTCTTATCAATTTATGCAATTATAATTGTTTATTTATTTTTTATGCAGTATTTGATTTTCTGTGATATTACTTCAAGTTACACTTTTTGAGCGTGGTGTTCGATAAGGAAACAATTTATTTAATATTGTTTAGAATATTTTTATTATTTTACGATACATGTAGGTTATTCAGGAAACTATATCATTTATCATGGAAACTATAGGTTAAACTGAAATAAGAAACATAAGTTTGAGACTTGATACTAAAAACTAAACTAAAGAGAGACTAGGTACCTGGAAAATACCGCGTCAATGGTGGTCCCATATTTGGTTGTGGATTCTTGTGGATCATTATTCATTTTCATATTAACTTTTTCCGAATGAAACGTTGTTAATCACTCTGATTTCATCAGTGAAGATGATGTTGAAATCGCCAGCCAAGATAAGGTGAAATTTACTACCATTGATAATCCGATTGAAATACCTAATTTCGTTTGTATTATTCAAGTCAAACGATATACTGTTCCAAAAGGGTGGGGTAGCTAATTACCAAAATAATAATAATGTTACTAATAAATAATTCTATATTTTTATTTGCCATTAAAAAAAATACATCGTAAATATTATTTTTTTTGAATCACCTTGCTCTTTAATTGATTTTGTCCGCTCGGAATATGCGAAAACACGCCTACAAGTATGCAAACATTTTGCGCATACTTTGTGATCGTGTTAGGTTTATTTCCGTTACGGAATTTCTTGATTCTGTCGCCGCGCTCAAAGCCCGCAATAGCTTAAAAACAAAATTCCACAGCTAAAAACATCAACTATCTGTCATTTGAATAACAAATTTGCTCAAACACTAACTGACTAAATAATAAATATAGTTTCAAAAAATAAAAAAAGGCTGCACTTCAAACTAAGGAGTGTAAAAAAAAAAATTGAATATAAACTGAAAGAATTTTGACCGGAAAATACTTATATTATTGTTAGGGAACCGTGTGAAACTTTGCGACATATGTCGCGTATATCGCGCTTACCACACTTGAAGCAGTCTCAAAGTTTTCTATAGAGTTTTGTGCCATTAAAAGAAGCAGTTAATTTTTATTTTGAATCAGGCACTTTCTTTTATTAATTAACTTGTTGAAACTCTGGATTTAGTTTTTTTATTAACTGTGAGTTACTATCGAAAAAAATTTACCTGTGCAGAATACGTATATGAAAAGCAGAAAAATCTTTAAAAAACGAAATTTAACTGAAATATATCCCACAAATAACTAATTTCAAGACAAGCACAACAAAATTTATTAGTAATGATAAGTTTTCGAATCATGTTCATCTGTCGTAAGTATTTTGATGCAATTTTTAATAGTTTTATTTTAAACATACTGTTTAAAATTTAATTAAGAATAAATTATTTAATGTTGTTAAAATTCTTCGGCATAAGATATCGAAGAAGTATATCAAAACCTTTTTAATTGCAAGATTTGAACGAAAAGCCGTCAGATTTTCTCACATCAAAAGATGTCGTAAAAGAGAGCATAATGAAGAACTGATATTTTACATTAAGTAGAGAAATCACGATGATTCGATGGAATTTACACGAGGAAACTCGAGATTTTATAACTATGAACGGTGTGCCACAAAATGAAGTTACGGATTGAAAAAATTCTAGAATTCAACGTATAGAATCAAACGTACTTTAAAGAACGGAGAATTTTAATTTGTACTTTGTACTTCATGTTGACTTTTTCAACTATTGTTGTAGTCGACTCACCACCTTTAAGACTTCCTCCTGCCTAGTTTCAAACCAACGTTGATATAGGCCGCAAAATACCGTCGATTATTCGAAAAAACAAAACGCTTACTAAGTTTAATCAATTACTCGATAAATATAATATATATATATATATTGTAGTAAGTATGTCAACTAGCCATTAGCATATGTTGTGTCCACACAAAACTAGTTCAATGTTGCTAATCAGTTCGAAATAAAAACAAACAGCATTGATTAGTACCTTATAGACGAGACTCACAGCTGCTTACTATCACGAAACTCTTTAGTTTGATTTTTCTTAACACATTGACTGTCATGTTATAAGTTTTCGTGCGACACACGGAAATTCACGGTGTGCTTGATCGCCCGAAATCGCGCGACAGAGATAATTATGATTTTAACAAAAACGTGCTTGGCAGCCGATGAAAAGTTTCGTCCAAACTGCTTAGCAGTCAATGTGTTAAGAAATATTCTGCGCTGTAGATTTGACTAAGAAAAAGTTATTTCGTTTGTAAGTTATCGTTACGTTACGTTAGTTATCGAATGAAATATGACACTAATTTTATGTTATCTTATCATATCAAATGTAATTTTTCTTACCATACCAGGAATCTGTATGAAATTACACCTAAGTTATCTTAAACGCTAGATAAATCGGTCCACCTCTTCCTCAACCTTCCAGGTTGTTTGTTGCAAATATACCGCTGCACCTGCAAAACTAATGGCACGCCCTAATGTAAACCAACATATACACCACACCTGGGAACAAACCTGAGAACACTCACAGAATCTCACCACAAACGATGACATCGCCACATACAACATTTGAGAACACCACGTACGATGATATCTGACCTAAACCACCATACAAAATTAATTGGATCCTCATTCGCTAAAACACATTCGTTTCGTCTACGAGCCTGAGCGCCACATCAACATAAAACTACGGCAAGCGACACCTTCAGAACTCGTAATGCTGATTCTATTCGGACATATGGGTTAAGTCGTTACCTTTATAAATACGATAAATTGCATAATAATTTATAATTATATATTTATAACAGTAGTAATAAAGGTGTTATAACCTTGTATACGATACAATCGCATTTTAATTTAAATTATCAACGCAATTATAAGTGAAGTGGTGAAATGTTGGTGGTGTTACCTAAAAAATTAGTGAATTTAATCAAGTAGTTATACCTAGAACCACTAAGAAGTGGTTTGCTAAATTCCGCCATGAGTATCCTAAAAGGACAGTTACAAACGAAATCATCAAACAAATCTACAAAATAATTTCAAGGCTTTCGCAAGCCTCCTTTTCTCCTTGAGTTAAAGAATTTTAAATGATATTGGAGAAACATTAACCATTGGACGTATGTGGGTATAGGTATATAGGTATATTTTGACAATTTATCACTTGTTTCATTTATTCTTATAAAAATTTTTCGATGTTCAAGTGTTATATGTAAACTAACATAATATCTTAAAGTTGTTTAATGGAAATATTCATTCCATATATCAGAAATACTTATTCACAGAACTTAGAAAAAATCAATAGCCTCGATTTACTTTAAAAATACTAACAATATGGGAGCCTCACTGTTTATGATCATAATCTCTCATACTCGACTAATAAATCACCTTCCACTGCGTTCATAAGCGCTGGTGAGCCGAGCTTCGCTATCGGTGGAGTTTTGTCGCAGACTTTCAAACGATAGTTCTTGAGCACTTCGACGATAGCTGTTTTTATTTGCAAAAGACCCAAATGACGACCTGAAATGGGATATACATTTTACTTCTTTATGTAGTTTCAGTATTTTTAAAACTTACCCAAGCACATTCGTGGTCCATCACTAAACGGCAAAAAAATTCCCCTCTTCGTCAACTCCGAAATATCAACATTTTCAAAACGATCCGGTTTGAATTCCAACGGATCTTCAAAATACTCGGCGTCATGTAAGTAACTGAATATGGGAATAGTTACTACTTGTCCCACCTCGATGGGTATGCGACGTCCATCGTCCAATACAAATTCGGTTGATTCTGTGCAGAGGCGCGGCTTAAATGTAATGGGACTTATCATACGTAAGGTTTCTAAAAATAAAGTAAAATTTAGAAATCGAGTGCATTTAGGTGTAAATAATGTGCCCTCACCGTTTATACACTGATCCAAATAAGGGAGCAGAGACAAAGCTTGATAATTTATATTGCCGTCTGCTTCAAGATTGCTTAAAATTTCTTTACGTAATTTTTCCTGACACTCCGGATGATGGGTCAACTGAAATAATGAAGCAGGTTTAGTAAGTGTTTTAGAAAAGTTTAGATGTAATTTGACTCACGTAGAAAAGGGCGTGAAAAGCAACTGTTGCTGAAGTGTCAAAACCATCGGGAAAAACGGTCACCAGGTAGCCTACCACTTCATTATGGGAGAGATGCTTCTTTTCCTGCAATTGGCGCACGTAATTTAAGAAGTCAGCTTGATTCTTTTTGCTATCATCTTTCTCACGCAACTCGTATGCGGCTTTTGTAAGCTGTGAAAAAAGCTGGTCACTTTCGGCAGTGAAGATTCGATGATTAGCAAAGCGTCGGTACCAAGGGAAGGGTATGCAATTGTAATAGCTCATAAAACCGTGAAACACTTGGTGAATTAGTTCATGCGATACTTCCAGATAATGATTCGGTTCGTCGAGACTGTCCAGCGTTTTCGTTTCAATGCCCCATAGGAATTCACCCATTATATTGGATGTATAGCGTAATAGAAGCTGCAAGGGAGGCAATATTAAAATAAGAAAATAAGCAACGGTATTCAGATATTTACATTTTTAGTTTCGATTATAGAGCTGCCTTTTGCTGTCTGTGCATTTAAGAGTTTTCCAAGCTTTTGAGTACAAGTCTTCCAAATCGGATAGGCTGAGGTGAACTGAAAGAGATTTATGTATATAATTAGTGGTAAGCAGAACCATATTTCTTTATATATTATACCTTGTGCTGTGTTAGTCCACCCATTACGTCGGACCGTATCGTCTTCCATTTCTCACCAACATTGAAAAAGGGATTGAATTTGGCGACTGGATCTTCTTCTTTGTCGTGGAGCTAAATGATATGCCCATATTAAATAAGTTTAATCTTCTTCATACAATTGTGGGTATAGTATTCTTAATAAATACATCTGGGCGTACTTACGAATTTGGATCCTAAATTATTCCGAAAGCTCTTGAAATTCGTTACTAAGACTTCGTGTGCCAATTTCGGATCTAGTATTAAAAACTCAGGTTGTCTGGAAACAAACATGCCAACAATCTGGTGTTTCTGCTTGTATTTGCTAAATAAAAAACAAATTGATTTTAGTTCTATGGTTATGGAAAATTTAATTGGATTCAAAGGGTTTCTTTAAAATGGTGCACATAAAAGAAATTTGTAAAAAAAAATTACCTAGGTCCTTTCAAACTTCGTTTGTCATTTATGGGATTTTGATTGGTAAATGAAAAGTAAAGTCTACACACACTACCCCTGGCATAAACGAAAGTTTTACTTTGATTTTAGTAATATTAAATATTTGGTTCACAGAGGAGTTGAATGAGATTGCCTTAAAATTTGGTGTTTTATGTTTTACATGTCCTTAAAATAACCTAGCTAAAATGAAAAAATACTTGCGTTTGTACTCACTTATAGATGTCATCGTAATCGTAACCTATTTGCTGTTTGCCGGTTAAATTTCCGAACCATATTTTTGGCTCTGGGCCGGCTATGCCCAACTTTTTAAAGGTATCGTAGTGCCATGTCAGATATTTGTGTATCAGGATTCCGACAGCGGCGAGCAAAGCAAATGTAACTAGAAGCGGCACCATTTTGAAATGTGAAATGTGCGCTGTGTTTTGCATTCTTAAGTACCAATTTTAGTTTCAGATAAATGAATTTATTTTGATGAGGTCACCTTGAAGAAAACATGGCCGAATAATTTCATTTGCAAAGCAACATTAAGAAATTGTAATTTTCTTCTAGCGGCCAAAAAACTGATTATTTCCAGACTAAACTAGTTCTATCTTGGTATCTGTAATCAATTCAAAATATGAAAAATTAGCTATAATGCAAAGAAATTGTAATTCGAAAACGTGCGCTGTGTTTTAACATTTTTAACTACCAATTGTAGTTTCAGATAATTTAATTTCTTTTTATGATGTTCAAAACTGATTATTTCTTGACTAAACGAATTTTAAATATGTTGCTAACTGTAATCCGTTCGCAATAAAAACAATTAGCAGCAATATGAACTTTATCAGCTAGACAAATATTAAATCAATAGCTATTAAGCAGTTGGTGAAAGCGTTCCGCCTTCTCCACATACCGGAATTCGTGCTGTTGAAAATGTTTTTATTGACGTTCATTTTTTTGGCGAGCTTATCAGTATGCCTCGTCTGGGAAATTGTGATAGTATATCTGCGTTGGCACTTCAATTACTGGCGTAAGCGCGGAGTGTGTGGTCCACAACCGTATTTGCTCGTCGGCACGTTCCCGAAAGCTAGCGCAGGACAGTGCAATTTGCTGGAGGAGTTAAATGAGATTTATCTGTAATTTATGGAAATTCATCAAATTTTTCATTGTGAATTTTTTTTTATTTAACACAACAAGGATATTTGAAGAGATTTTCTTTACAGTCGTTACAGAGTCTCACAAAAGTTTGTAGGCATATTTATCGCACGCACACCCAAACTTTTTATATGCGACCCAAAACTGGCTCTGGAAATTTTGACGCAACATTTTAAAAGTTTTCACGATAACGAATCCTCCGAATGGGTGAGTTAATTCACCTACTGATATGAATTCATAAGTCAAGAAGTCGTACTTAATCAATACAATTTGCACTTTGTATTTATTATTCAGTTGCAGAAATGTTTACAAATAATTTAGAAATATACATATACTTATATATAAAATTTGTACTTATTTCAGACGAACGCAAACGTGGAGCAACTGCGACTCTGCAGTCCTTTTGTTTCCACCGGAGAAGAGTGGAAAGCCCGACGTTCGGAATTAGTGCCAGCGTTGACCATTAATAAGGTGAAGATTTTTCATATGTACCTTCATATCTATGTGATACTGCCCTACAGTTTCCAAGTGATTAATTGCGTACCCAACACCACTGAGATTTTTAAACGTCACTTAGCATCGCGTTAAATACTTAAATGATAATGCAATTTTTTTCAAGTACAATATTTTATTATAAAATATAAGTAATTTTTATTTTTATATATAGATAATTATACATTACTATTTTGAGGCGTGATCGATTAACGCGTACAAGAGCTTTCCGAATAAAATCCGCAGTAAGAGTTTGCAGCGATGTCGATCGACCTGGTAAAAACGAATCGTATGAAGTCAGGATCGCGGTTGAACTAAAATGACGTCGTGACGTTGAGCAATCGAATTAGGAGCGCACAGGACCTGTCGTAATTGAATGCGTGTTAAATTAACCGTATCGCGCAGGTTCGCTGAGTAATCGGAATTAGTGTTTAGGATCCAGTTAATTGAATCGAAGTGGATAATCGAGTGATGTGGCGCTCAGAATCGTACAAAGAAAGCAGAAAGAAGGTGGAGGCGATGATCCAGTTCTTCTTGTTAATTTGATGTGTGGTGTGTCATCGTTGTGGCGTTCTCGGATGTTAAGTGTGGAGGTGTTGTTGTATGTAATGTTCGAGTTAAAGAAATAAAGATATAGTACTGAAAAACTACACATTTAAAGTGTTAGAAAAGATACATTTTTGAAGCAAATAACTTCCAGTAAAATCAATGATTAATGAATTTTAGATTATTGATATGCAACAGAAGATGTTAAAGTCTTTAGACTTATTATGTTTAATTTGTTTAAAATTAATAAATTAAAATATGCTATAAAAACTATAATTCTCAACAAGTTGAAGAACGATTTTTTGTAAATAATTTTTTAAGATACCACGTGTTTATATGTTTATAAAAAATTATAAAAACTAACGAGTTCTGAAATAGACGTAGAAATGAGGAATTATAAGAAAACTTACACTTGAGAAGTATTTTTGAGAGCAGTTGCCACTTGTTAATTCGAGAAAAGTGTTAAAATAATTCAAGTATTACATAGTAAATATAAAACTGAACCACATTTAAAAGGATATTCGTCGAAAATATTTTTTAGGCGGGTTGCCAGATTTTTGAAATTTTAGGTAAAAAAAAACATGTATAAGCTGAAGAAACACCAAACTATGCTTAATGTTTTCAAGATTTACTGTGAAGTCGCACAAAAATTTTACCGTGCATCATTGAATTCGAGACACTCAGGAGAGTTGTACTCCTCTTGTGTGTAGTCTGTAGTCAATTTATAGTGGAAAATCTGTATACTTAGAAATAAAACTAAATATTTACAAATACAATTTTTGAAAAAGCGGAATTTTATTAAAATTAAAATTTCAATTACATTATCCCTCCCAGATTCGCTCCTTCTACTCAGCAATGCGTGACAGTGCTCAGAAAGCCATCGAGTTCCTCACAGCCATGGGTGAGCAACCACAAGATGCCAAAGAAGTGCGTATTTATAACCTAACAGCAATAGCAAACACTTTATCAAATGCTTTATTGCTAAGTGCCGCATTTCTGACTTAACATTTCAGCTAGCCAATCGCTTCACAGCCCAGTTCATGTGCAACTTTATATGGGGCATCGAAGGCAACGCCTTCAATGTGCCGCAGAAAGCGAGTGCGACATCGCTCTCTCCCGTGCATTGCATGGCCAGAGATATTATTTTGCAATCGTTGCAATGTGTACGTTATTATGGAAGCACTGCTGCTTGGCCTTGGCTGCGTAAATTACAGCCCGTATGTTTCTTTCCCGTCGCCGCGGATCGTTTCTTTCAACAACTACTCGCGGACGCTTTGAATGCACGCGCCAAACAGCAAACAGCCGAGGCTGGCGGTGGGCGCGGTGATGTGATCGATCACCTGCAGCAGCTCAGGGAGAAAAAATCCTTAAATGCCATACAAATTGCCGGACATACAACAACAGTTTTGATTGATGGCTATGAAACGGGAGCGATGCTGATTGCGCATTGCCTGTTGCTGGTGAGTGGAAATTATGAGGTTCGCTTCTTGCCGCTGCTTGCCGTTGTTGTTTTTATTATAACAAAGTTGTGATTTCGCAAAGTAGCGGTTTTAAAATGTCTACCTGTTGTGTACTTGCATGTCTTGCTGGCAGCTTGCGCGCAATCCACGCGTTCAACGGAAGCTCAGAGAGGAACTACTCGCTGCCGACGTCGCTGACAGTTTCGATGCGCTAAACGAATTGCCCTATCTCGAACAGTGTCTACAAGGTGACAAAAAAATTACAGCAAGCCTTTAGACTAAGATTCTTTATTGCATCTCGCCTAAAAAATTACAAAAATTACAGAAACGCTACGACTTTTTCCACCGCTGCCAACGCTTTTCAAACTCTGCACTGAGTCAGTTACTTTAAAAAATTTCGACGACTCAACGCTGACTGTGCACCCTGGTGACGGGGTCTATATTTCAACTTACTCTTTTCATCGTGACGCTGAGTACTTCGAAAACCCCGATGATTTTTGGCCTGAGCGCTTTGCAGAGGAGATGGGCGGTGTACGCAAATATCGGGAGATGGGGGTTTTTATGCCATTCGGCGATGGACCGCGTATGTGTCCAGGTAAAGTACATAGATTAAAGCACTATTTGTGATTATAAAGTCGAGTTCATCAAAGAACTAAAGCTTATCAAATTTTCAAATTCAAGGCATGAAATTGGGCTTATCTGAGGCCAAGGTCGCTGTGTCTGAGCTGATAAGTAACTTCAAGGTTCGCGCTGGCGTTGAGACCCGCACCGATAACAAAATCGCAAATGACTCATTTCTGCTAACGCTCGACGGCAAAATCGAACTTGTGTTTTATCGTAGGCAATAATTTATAGCTCTTTGTGACGGTTTATATGCAAATTTCTTATCAAATCTGCCTCACAATATTGAGTTTATGTACTGGACACTTGATTCTCTATGTGATTAATTAACTATGCAATTTTTTAAAAAGAAAGTTGTAATTATAATTGTGAATAAATTTCGTTAAATGGGAAATTTTGTCTTCAAATTTTGTTAAGCAGAAAGTTGTCAGGTTCAGTTTCTCTGCACTGCATCTCAACTTTGTGAAAAAATATTTTATATATAATATATATATATACTTGTATGTATATGAAAAAACTGATTCTTGACAGAACTTAAGAACTTTTTATCTGATTTTTTTTAAAACGAACTTAGTAGTCGTCGAGATAAATGTGTAGATCCCCAAGGCATCCGCATAGAAGCAGCTGCTATGCTCGAGTTCCATATCTTAGAACTGGGCTCTCTAAAACTCTCTACATTATCATTCAAGGCTTTATGACGTAGACCTTCTAGAGGGTTCGCTTGTTTATAAGTTTCTCCTAAAGATTTTAGAACATTGAAAACTTGTTACATCACATTATACCTTCCATTCCGTGCATTCGTTCCACGTTATGATGAATCGCCTCGTCTAGCCATCACTTGTAGGCTCTTAAGCCGCGCTTTCTCAACAGGTAAGCGCAAGTAGAGAGCAAACATAGTTGATCGCTTACAAGAGTCATATAAGACTAAGCTATTACAAACCGTTCTACAACAACAACTTATTTGATTGATGACCATGGAGTGGAGCCTAGCTGATTGCACAGAGCTGGTTGTTGACATTCCTTGTTGTTGTTATTATTATAGCAGTATATTGCTATTATTACTGTTGAGTACAAGTTCTTACTTTAATATTGACTGAATGAGTGAGCCTTGATTGAGCTTGTTCTAAAGTAAAGTTGGACGAAAATTAAAATTATTATGTATGCTCTTTCTAAAGCCCAATTTAGAAGATGCATAGGGAATACTTATTTTACCTGGCGCTTGCGTTGGAAACTGTTAAATTTTTTGAACCAATCTGAATAATTGCAATTCTGAAGAGCTGAACTAGAGTTAACTTTCTTGGAAATGTCTGTCCTGTTATTAGAACCTTTGCTGTTAATCTCAAGC